TTTTGAGTTCCATGTCCTGCATTATCTCTAGGGGGTTCTCATTGTACTCCTCTAGAGGACTATTGGTATTTGATGGGGATATGCTATTTTAGGTTTTTCACGTTATTATTTTTTCTCTATGATTTTGATATGTGAACTTCTTTTGTAGTTCCTGATTCTTGTGTGAGACAAAGCCTTCAAGTTTAGGTCTGCTTCTTTTAGTAAACTTTTTGTGCTTTTGTGGTTTACTTTTTGGGCATGAAAAGCTGGTTTGTCTAAGCTTCCATTTCTCTCTTTTGATTTTATATTGGAGTGGCCAAATTGCTTTTGTCTTCAGGAGTTCACACAGAGGCCCAAGTTAGATGAGGATCAGATGCTTTCTCCTAAGGTCTGGATCCTTCCAGGAAAGATGTTGTTCATCAGGAATTTGGGGGTTGGACTGGCCTGGGAGCAGGGCGCAGGAAAAATGCTGGTCTTGGGCAGCTGGTGGCTGTCCCACCGAGGGATGCAAAGGGAGGTGGGGACAGGAAGAAGCCCCACGGCTCTGGGGACTGAAGGGAAGAACTGGGTTGGTCTGGATGCAAATGATCAGGAAACAGTGGTGGCTCAAATCAGAGAGGTCAGCCCCAGTGTTTGGGGTGCCAAGACAAGAATTGGGACAGTACCCAGGCCAGGAAGAGAGATGGGCAGGGGAGGTGGGAGGGTTATGAGGCTGGGGGAGTCAAGGCACTGTGGGCACTGATGGACTTACCCAGGAAAGAGGCTGGAGGGTCGTGCAGCCCAGGGAAGCAGAAAAAAAATTGTTTTTATTTATGTGTGTGTGTATGCGTGTGTGTGTGTGTGTGTGTGTGTGTGTGTGTGCATGTGTGTATGCTTGTCACATGTGTAGGGATACCCACAGAAGCCAGAAGAGGACACTAAACCCTGGTAGTGAAGTGTGATTAGGAAACCAAACTTGGACCTCCTAGATGAGCAACAAGTGTTCTGAAATGTTGAGCCACCTTTTTACCTCTTTATTTATAAGTTTTTACTTGCTTTGGTTTTTTTGAGACAGACTCCTGCTATGTAACACAGGCTCACTATGGCCTTCTGAATCTCCTATCATAATGTCTCCAGTGTTGCCATTTTATATTTAATCAATACACGAAACACTAGCATCACACATAGTAATGGGGTACCATGTACTATGTCAAGGAAATTGTAGAATTTATATTGAGTGTTGGGTCCAGCATCTGTGTGTTGAAAGAACAGGATGATCAAGAAGAGCTCTCAGGAGCTGGGAGCCTCCAAATGCTCCTATGAAGCTCAGTCAAGGTCAGATCAGATCTTCCAAAGCAGCATAAGGCCTGTGCATGGTGACTCACTTCTGTAATCTTAGCATTTTAGAAAGTTGAGGCAGGAAGATCACTATGAATTCAAGGTGAGCATGGACTACATAATGAGATCCTGTATCAAGAAAAGGAAAGGAAAAGAAAGAAAAAGAAAGCAGAGCACGAGCTTGATATAGAATCTGAAGCCTCTTGAATTTCATAGTTCTCTCTACATGTACATATACCCTGTACCCTCACACACAAATCACATTGCAGTAAAACTAACTAACCTACCACTTACTTTGTAGCCTGGAAAGGAAGCTGCTCATGAAGTTTACACTTACTCAAGCGTCCTCTCCTGAGAATCAGAGAATTGTCAGGGTCCAAGTTGTCACTCATGCTGGGCTCCACTAAGTGTGGGCCTGTACCCAGATCGATCCTATGTTCCTAAGCATGGGTTGGGGCTCAAGGGCACCATGATGTGACTAAAGAAAGTAATTAAAAGAAAATGAGATACACATAGTCCAAGTCCACATCATAAACTATTGGAGGAATCCCCTTTCTTTCTCCTTCCAGATTTCTCTGTTGAGGGAAGGGTTGAGTCTACTCAGAGGGACCTGTGAGCAACTCTTCAGGTGCCATAGGAAGCTCCCACACTCATTCCCTGTGCTGTCATGGCCCTCTGGACTGGATTAGGTTCAACTTCAAGTCTCCAGCCACTAAAGCTTCACCCTTTTAGGACATGTTTCTTCTTTGCTGTGTCCTCAGTTCAGATTAAGTAGGGGCTAGATGCTGGCAGGGCTGGACACAGGCTTGCACAATGGGCCCACTTTCTAACCCTTGCAGCACTGCTTTTAGTCTCCATTTCTCCTCTTCATGCATTGAGAAGAGGGAATGGAGTGAACTGAGTTGCCTTGACCTTTTGCTGGAGAGAATGTTTACCACCTGGCTGAGCTGGACTCCCCTGGAATTTGATCCCAGCAGGTGACTCTGCTCAGATTTTGTCTCAATAACGCAATCTGGGAATGTGAGTGGCCAGTGTTGAAACACTCAGAAGTTCAGACCAAACCTATCTACCCCAGGACAGTGAAGAGGAACAACTGATCACTGTCAATTGGTTTTGTTCAGGAATGCTAGTGGGGGGATAGATGGGTTAGAGGAATCTCCAGGGGACAGGTAGGTGTCTCTGAGGATTTCTCTTCAACCCAGTGGCTCCAGGTGAAGGAGTCAAACCTAGACTCCTAGTCTCTCTGACTCTATCTGGAAATTCCAGGGACTGTTCCAGATCCTGGAATGTTCTAGAGGCTCTTGACCCCAATTAGAGTACATGTTGCTGTTAGGATGAGTAAGAAAAGAGCAGTAGCCAGGTGTGGTGGCACAGGCCTTTAATCACAGCACTCAGGAGACAGGCAGGCAGATCTCTGTGAGATTGAGGCCAGCTTAGTCTACATACTGAGTATCAGGTTAGTTGTGGCTACAGGGAGACCCTGTTGCAAAAAGAAAAAAGAAAAGGGCAGTAGGTTTGGGGAGTGGGAAATGCTACTGTATGGGTGGCCCTAAGGAATTGACAGTGGCTAGAACATGGTGTTGCTGAGAAAAAAATGCCAGCAACTTTAGAGTCCCTAACTCCCTGTTGCTGTAGTAAGCATTTGAAGGAAGATCTTAGGAGCTATTGATGGAGAGGAGCTGGAGATGGAAGAGAAGGAAGAGGAGGAGGAAAAGGAAGAGGAAAAGGAGGAAGAGGACAAAGGGGGACAGGAACAGGAACGGGAGCAGCAGGAGAATGAACAGAATTAGCAGAAGAAACATGAGCTCAAGGCCAAGCAAGGCCACTAGAAGGAAGAGGGGCAGAAGCAGCAGGAGCAGGAAGGCAAGTAGGGATTAGGCAGAAGCAGGACCAGAACCAGGAGCAGGCACAGCTACCCACATTGAGGGAAAAATGGCCTAGTGCCAGGTCTGCAGTTTACATCCTGCTGATAATCAAGGCCTACTTACTCTTATGGCATGATTTACCCATTAGAGAAATGATAAATGAAGGCCTTTAGGGGATGGTCAGAGCCAAGAATCCTTGGTGTTTCTCTGCCACCCACTCCTTTATCTAGCTCCATACCCTTCTTTGTTCCATGTCCTGTGGGATGTGGCATGCTGTACCTCACCTTAATGTTCTCTATGGACGTCCTATGAGATCCAGACTCTAGCACTGCCTCAAGACTCCTGAGGAGAAGCTCCTTAGTTAGTCCACATGGGATGCAAACTGGACTAACACCTTTTTGGTCTGTAGCCTCAAGGTTCCATGTGTCTGGATGTTTTTAACCCTCAGTGACTGAGGAGATCTGGATTCTATGTGTATGACCATACAGGGTTGGCCTCAGAAATGGAGGGTAGATGACAATACGATTGGCACTAAGGATTCACTTTCTGGAACAAATCCAGTCCTAGTGACCAAGGAAGAGCTCCAAGGTGCCATGAAGCCTAAGAAAGAAAGGCAGACAGATATAGGGGTACACAGAATGCATCGTATGAAGGGAATTACTAACTGATGTGTGTGCCTTGGGAGCATCAAGACTAGTTTGACTCCTGCAAGTTGGGTCAGAAAAGGGGTAGAAATTATGACTAAGGAGAAATGTGACTTCATTCTAGTGGAAAGTCTATGGTTTATTTTAAGCTGGAATCAGACAATTGGGTAGGCACATCCCTAGAACCAGGAACTTAGTTGTAAAGCTTGGCATTCCACTCTAGAGGTTTTATCTGCTTGTAGTTGGCTGTGAAATCATGCAGGAAATACTGGCACAGGTTAGTTTGGGACAGTCATGGTGGTTACAACACATGATGGTCATGCTCACGTCCAGTTGATTTTATACAGTCAGGAGTAGGGTATCTTGAGGAGGTGAAAGCCCCTTCCCTCTTCAGGCAACTGTGGGAGATGTTTCTGGGGCTCCAGGACCCATCACCTTGCATGCATTTGAGGCCAGGCTCCCTGTTTGGGGTTCACCATTTCTTTTTTCCAGATAATTGCTACGCCAGGAAGGCACTGAAGTCTTCCTGACCTCTCTTTGACCCTACCCTGTAGTTTCACAGGGAATGATAGTAACCTAGTTTTCTGAGGAGTGATTCTGGGTGCGAGCCTGATGAGAAAACCTGAGTTCAGAGAAGGATTTCCTGGTAAATATGAAGTGAGTTCAAGTGCAGGTTGTCAATAGCACCTACCTGTGTTCACAAAGTTTCTGATTCAGTGGCACTGAAGTAAGATGTGAAGACCCAATCTAAACCTAGAACTTGATCTAATGAGGCATGTATTATGAAATGTGTATGGACTTGTGCCCAGGAGGCAGAGAGATATCAAAGGACTAGAGAGGTATTGCTGAACTGCTTTGTTTTCCTTGGCAGTAGGACAGTAGATTCACAAGGACATTTATATATGAGAAGACCAAGGGCAGTTCAAAGAGCAGAGAGGTGGGGCGTGAAGAAAATGTTCCAGGAAGACAGTGATCAGGGAGCAAAGTAAGAACTCCATGCCAGAATCTGTAAGCCGCTCTGCCTACCACATTGTCAGTATTCCTACTACTGTCTGAACAGAGGCCAGGCTCACTTTTACAAGGAGTGTCTGTGCCTGTCCTCTACTGGTCATGTGGCTCTACCTGCTGTCCCTGGTGGGCCTGTGGTACCTCCTGCGCTTGTATAGGGAGAGGCAGGTGGTGAGCCACCTCCATGACAAGTATGTCTTCATCACTGGCTGTGACTCAGGCTTTGGGAACCTGCTGGCCAGGCAACTGGACATGAGAGGCATGAGGGTGCTGGCTGCATGTCTGACTGAGGAGGGGGCTGAGCAGCTGAGCAAGAAGACATCAGACAGGTTAGAGACTGTGATCCTTGATGTCACCAAGACAGAGAGTATTGCTGCAGCCACCCAGTGGGTGAAGGAACGTGTTGGGGACAAAGGTAACACCCAGACTTCTGTCTTTGTCTATTGGTTTTGTCTCTCTATGTGAAGGGAACACCCCTGTGTGACCCTGGTAATATTCCTAAGGGAAGTGCTGGAGAGATGGCTTAGCAGATAAGAGCCCTGACTGCTCTTGCAGAGGACCCAGGTTTGATTCCCAGCACCCACATGGCGGCTATGAACCGTCCTTAACTCCAATTCCAGGGGAATCCAAAGCCGTCTTGTGACCTCCGCGGGATTGCACGACATGGGTGCACTCACATACATGCAGGCAATATACTCATACACGTAAAATAAAAAAATAATAAATAAAATATTTTTTAAAAAAGATTCCTAGAGGGGTATTGAGGGAAGGTTTGAAATAGCACCAATATCCTTCCCCTCCCCAGCAACCAGCCTGAGCGTGTTCTCCCTCCAGCCCCTCCCTCCTGTTCTTGAAATTCTCTATTCTTTGTGGAAAGGTACCCAGGTGAGGATTTGTCTTCCAAGTTTCTCCCTGTTCTCTGCCATGTTTTCTACGCAGATAGTCTAGATTGCTTGATGCTGAGTGCCAGGTTAGCAATAGGGCACTTTTGTGAGCAGGGGAAAGGCCTGAGGTTCTGGGCTATGTTCCCCAGTGGCTGGACCTTCCCAGAGTGGGTCTTCTTTCTCAATACTGTAACTTAGTCTTCTTTACCATCCGCCAGCCTCCATGCTGAAAGCCAAGTTTATTGACATGTTCATATGAGGCATCACAAACTCAATGATTTAAAATAATTTAACCTTAAAATTTTTTATTTTATTTTATTATTTCATGTAAACGAGCACTTTGCCTATATGCAATGTAAGTGCCCTATGTATGTGCTTGGTCCCTTAGAGGCGGGAAGAGGGCATCGGATCCCCTGAAACTGGAGTTAAGGATGGGTGTTAGCCTCCATGTGGGTGCTGGGAACAGAACCTGGGTCCTCTGGAAGAACACTAAGTGATCTTATCAGTTGAGCCATCTCTCCTGCCCCTAGAATAATCTAACTTTTAACAAAGCCCTACTAACGTAAACATATCTTGTGAATGCATACTAGAATTCTTTTGTACATTTGTGTTTGTTTTGTTTGCTATTGGTTTGTGTTTTGGAGACAGGGACTTGCTGTAGAGCTGGCCTTGAGCGGATGATCCAGCCTTGGCATCCTGTGCTGGAATTACAGGCATGTTTCCATCATAAACACTGTCTTAGTAAACTTCTATTTACTTCAGTGTAAGTGTGTGTGTGTGTGTGTGTGTGTGTGTGTGTGTGTGTGTCCTAGAAATAAAGTATCTTGTTTGAACAGTAATCATTTCCATAAAGCAAGGCATGGGGTTGAGCTGAGGAGGCACATGGCTTGTTGGGCTAATTCTTTGAGATCAACAAATGCCACTCTTGACTTAAATCAATTAATTCCCAGTTCACCCTGCATGAAAATTAACAGTGAAGATGTGCTGGTTAGCTATACATATGATGTTAAATCTTGCAAAGTGATGCCTGAAGAGCCATAACTTGGTGACCAAAAGGGATGAGTGAGGGTGGCCCGTGTGTGAATGGGAAGTGAGAGTGCCCTTTTTCGGCATAGAGGGTAGGCTCACATACTATTGATTGGCAGGAAGTATTGCCTCTTTCCTCAGGATGGCCTTGGGTTTTGCAAGCATCTCAGCAAAGTTACTTATTATTGATATTGGCTGAGTGAAGGCCAGCTTTCCTCACAGCACAAACACAGCACTGTTGTCTAAAGTTTCTTCCAGTGGGAAGCGAGAGTGCCCTTTTTCGGCATAGAGGGTAGGCTCACATACTATTTATTGGCAGGAAGTATTGCCTCTTTCCTCAGGATGGCCTTGGGTTTTGCAAGCATCTCAGCAAAGTTACTTATTATTGATATTGGCTGAGTGAAGGCCAGCTTTCCTCACAGCACAAACACAGCACTGTTGTCTAAAGTTTCTTCCAAATAGAACTTTATGTCTTTGCTTTTCAATCAAGCTCCATTCAGATATTAGCTTTACCTTTTCTTTATTTTTTCTTTGTCTTTTCCTCCGTTCCTAATTCTTGTTTTGTCTTTCTTTGCTCTTTGAGAGAGAAAAGGTAGCTGCATCTAAATTGCCCAGAGAAATCTAAAAAAGTGTGAAAGAATAAAGGATCTCTAAGGATGACATTAATCTATAAGCACAGTTTCCATGTGTTCATATTAATGGAGGGACAATATGCCTTCCACATCTGTTCCCATGATCTGTAAATGTGAAATGATTGCCTGTTCCTTTCAGTGGGTCATGAAGAGTCAAGGGAGGAAAGTATCCATACCATCAGTTAGTAGCTTCTGGGATGGGTACCCCAGGGCCCACTGCTGAGATCCTGTTGTTAGTTGTATCCTACTCTCCATCCTTTCTGAAAAGTCTCACCGTGTAGAATGTGAAGCTCAATTATAATTGTGCCTGTGTGACTCTCTCTTCTTCCCGCTGTCCTCAGGACTCTGGGGTCTGGTGAATAACGCTGGCATCTCTGTCCCCATCGCTCCCAATGAGTGGCTGAACAAACAGGACTTTGCAAAAATACTTGATGTGAACCTGATGGGGGTGATCGAGGTGACTCTGAGCATGCTGTCCTTAGTGAGGAAGGCCAAGGGCCGCGTGGTCAACGTCTCTAGCGTCATGGGCCGGTTGTCTATCTGTGGTGGTGGTTACTGCATCTCCAAGTATGGTGTAGAGGCATTCTCGGACTCCCTCAGGTATTGGACAAGATGGGGCTCCCTGAGGGAAGCTTTGGCAGGATTTTAATTCAGTTGCAACCTTGGAGACCCCATCATGGAGAAGCCTCTCAATCCCTGGTTTGGGGGACTCTTGTCTTCTCTTCTCTGGAGTTAGGTGGTCCTTTTTTTGAAATTACCTTTCCATGTCTCTGGTATAGGGAAGGGCCCAGGCCTGAGTCAGTTAAACTTGCCCTACCCTGGAGGGGGATCTACAGTGGGAGTGTTTAGTTCGGGGGTGGGCAGATTTACTTTGGGGGTAATTTGGACCACGTGCCCAGTCTCTTGACTGCTATGAAGCTCAGCAAGATGTCCTTGAGGTAGGATGAACATCTTAGTCAACTCGACAGACACTTACCAAACTCTTGTTAGAGTCCACAATGACCATATTCTAGCATAACAGATGTCTGCCAAGCATTGTGGTGATCCTTTATCACATTTGTGGAAGGTCCTCTAGTAGGGGTCTGAGCTGAGGGTCGAACTTGACCTTGGAACCCTGGCTCCCAGTGCTTCCTGTATAAAAATTGTCACCAGCTCAGGTCCAGTGTGAATATAACCTGACAGCATGTACTACAGGATTCTCCTTGGCAAAAGGATAGGCCAGACATGGCAGGAGGAAGGCTGGATAGGTAAGCACATAGGCTTACAGAGAGGCTGAAGGCCCTAGAAAAACATGTGCTTTATGCTGTTGGCATGGCTAACTTTGGAATGGATTGAATCAGGGGAGCCAGGTACCTCACTTGGTTATAGAGCACAAGGTGGCTATAAGACTGCATGCATAGACTCAGTCCTTAAAGATGTCTTCAGGAACCACGTGGGAGCTGCTTTCAGGGTTCTTGGCAACAACTGTGGAGATGGAGGCCCAGTAGTAAAGAGGAACTGACTTGGTGATTTTTGCATGTGTGCTAAATGGAGAGAGCCCTTACATGGTGTCTTGGCACAGAATATCTAGTTTTAGACCAGTGGGCTGCATATGCCAAATACTAGGTGTGAGATTAAAAGTTCAGAAGCAATGCCCTCATCACAAGTTTCATTTCCATCTGTAACACAGCAAAGATCCAAAAACCTTTATCACCAAAATCTTCTGTTGGCATGTTACTGTATTATTACTGTGTTTTTTATTGAAAGACATTTGAAGTCTTTGACCTCTGACTGTCCGTCTTGCAGGAGGGAGTTCTCCTGTTTTGGAGTCAACGTGATTATTATAGAGCCTGGCTTCTTCAAGACTGTTGCAACCAGTAGTGAGGAACTATCACGGAACATCAAGAATCTGTGGGATCAGTCCAGCCCAGACATGAAGGAGATTTATGGGGAGAAGTTTCTGGCATCATGTAAGTGAGCTGTGGGAAGAGAAGCAAAGTTTGGTCCCGAATTCTTAGCCTACTATTACTGTTGCTAATAGTCATCCAGGCTCTTTTTCCTCAAAATGAGGACATTTAATCCCATTTCCTTGTGGGCCTGTGGACATGTGGTCACATTAAGAGGTCCTGGCTTTTAGAATATGGGGAGAGAATATGGGGAGAATATGCTCTCTTCCATTGAACCTTTCATTATCATGAGTTGAAAGTTAGATGTGAGGTACTACAAGAAACAACAACTTTCCATGGGCTTGAGTTTCCTGCCAGTGTTGGGAGAGACCCTGCAGTTATGCAGCCCAGATATTTCTCTAAACAGAGACACAGGTGGCTGAATGTGGACAGTTTTTCCTTGATGTTGTGTTGTGATACCTTGTGAGGGGCTTGGCTTCTGGGGGTGGGAGGCATGGATTCTTAGAGAACATTTTCTTTGTGCCGATCCCAGAGGGGGAGTGATGGGAGGTGGAAGACTACCGCAATAATTTCTCATTCTGTACAGACCTGACAGGTATAAAATCATTGGACCAAAAGTGCACAGAGGACCTGTCCTTGGTGACGGACTGCATGGAGCATGCTTTGACTTCCTGTCACCCCCGCACCCGGTACTCACCTGGCTGGGATGCTAAGCTCTTCTACCTCCCCATGAGCTACATGCCCACATTCCTGGTGGATGCCATGTTCTGCTGGGTCTTCTCAAAGCCCGCCAAGGCTCTATGAAGCACACATGTGTTTGCGTGGTTGGGGGAATATGGATACATTGTGAGTGACAGGATTCCTCTGTGAAGGAGAGTAGGGTCGATGGAGGGAGCTAATGCCACTAGGATATATATAGTTCACCTTCCTCACGCAAATGATTCTGCTGTGATAGTATTTAGAATGGAGAGGACCAGAGCAAGAGCCAAAGAATTCTGACAAGGGTTAGGGATTGAAAAGTGCTGGACTGATGGACATTGGGGGACACGAATCATACTCTGTAGACCACATTACACACACACACACACACACACACACACACACAAGAGTTTATTAAATTAGGTGGGGGCAGTGTGGGAGATGCAGAGTGAGAAGCAGATCCAAATGCCATGAAACTATATTGTATGAAAATCTCAAAATTCAATAAAAAATGCAAAAAAGAAAAAATCGCTGGATGATAACTTTTTGGGTTAGTCAGTTGCCCAAGCTCTGACCATCATGACCCAGAATGAGAGTCGACACAAAAGGGTATGTTGAGAGCTATCAGGGAAGGCTCTGCCTCCTGCCCTCTTCCTTAGGAAATGGATGTGTGTTGGCTAGTCTCCATCATCTGAAAGTACCTGTGCTTATGGTATGAAGGGGGAATGCAATTGCCAGCAGCCTGCTTCTTCTGGCTGTGGGTGCCAGGCCAGCAGGACTTGTTTGAGAGGTATTATGTCAGGTGGGGGTTCTGGCAGAGGGTAGAGGAACCAAGTTTTAATATATCTGAGAATCATGGCTTTCTTTGGATTCCTTCATTTTAGAATAGAAGTTGTAAAGATCACCTGTGCCCTGTGATTTGTTCTATGGCCTGGAGGAGCAGTAAGGTGTGGACCTCTGGGAGGAAGAGTCAGGGGAGGAGGGGGATGACTGAGGAGAGTTAGTGCAGGTCAGTTGGATTACCCTTGCCCTCTCTCAGGCCCTTCTTTCCCCCGAGGTGAGAGCAACTGCTTCCTTCAAGACTTCTAAGTAAGCTAGCTCACAGGATGAGGCAGAAGAGTGGGCATGCAAGATGTCCAAAGGAGAGTGCTGGGCCCCAGGTCCCTCTGCCAGTGAACTGAAGCCCTCCTCCCCTCAACCGCACGTCCCTGCAGACTCATTCACTTACCATCCCTTCGAGCTCATTGTGATTCTGTCTTGTTCCCCTCCTCATGTCCCCCTGCTCTCCCACATTCCTCCAAGGGCGTGGAGTGGGTGTCATTCTGGACCCTGATCTTTCATTTTCCACTCAACATTTGTTGTATAAGGGCAGGGATGCTCTTGACCTTGCCCTGGCTTCCTGAGGCCAGGCTCAGTGAGTTATGAGGTTTGTGATGATCTTCTCAAGTGTGAGCTGAGGAGAGACAGCATTTGCAGAAGGTGACAGAGATTCTTGGGCTCAGTCAAATTTCCATTTGGCAGAATCTTCTGTGTATCTGAGTTTCCTTCACTCAGTGTAATAATGAAGGCCATGGATGGTGTAATTGAACAACAACTTCTTTTCAGACAACTGCTACATCAGGAAGACACTGAAGTCCTCCTGTCCTCTCTTTTGGCCTCACCCCTGTAGTTGTCCAGAAAATGAGAGTAAACTAGTTTTCTGGGTGCTGAGTTTGATGAGGAAACCTGAGTCAGAGAGAGATTTCCCTGCAAATGTGATTGAGTTCAGTACATGTTCTCAATATCACCTACCTATGTTCACAAAGTCCTTGGTTAACAGTCACTGGAGTGCAACACTGATAACAAAATCTGAACCTGGAACTTGACTGAAGGGGCATATATTATAAAACATGCATGGATTACACATGACCAAAGGAGGAAGGGAGAAATCAATAGACAAAGGAGAATTTTTCTTTGGCAGAAAATTAGGAAGCTACAAAGGGCATTTATATATCAGAACCCCAAAAGCTCTTCAAAAGAGCAAAGAGGCGGGGCATCAAATAATGTTTCATCTGAAGCCCTCGTTTTTATTATTTATTATGATGATGAAAGTGAATCCAGAGGTGGCAGGTTGTAGGCAGATATCACTTTCCACGGGCTAGGGTTTTCTTACATAGTTGACAGAGATTTTGTAACTAGATGATCTTCTGACCAGAAATGTTTCTCTGACCAGAAATAAAGGTGGCTTAGTGAGGACAGTCCTTCCTTGAATTTGGGTTGTATTCCTCCTGATTAATTAAAGATCAATTTTTAGGCATTGCTTCTGAGTGTGGGAGGCATGGATTTTTAAAGAATCTTTTCTCAGGAAACCTTTCTTTGGTGATGGACTGCATGGGCATGTGCTGACTGCCTGTCACCCCTGAACCTGGTGCTCACCTGGCTGGGATGCCAAGTTCTTCTACATCCTCATGAGCTACCCGCCCACGTTCCTGGTGGATGCATGGTCTACTGGCCCTCCATAGAGCCTGAAAAGTTCCTAAGACACCAACACTTGTGTACATAGCTGAGGAAATATGGGTAAAGTGTGGCAGGGAGGATTCCTCAGGTGCAGGAAAAGTAGGGTGGGTGGGGGGATCTCATGTCCTTAAGGGACATAATCTATATTATTCATTCAAATCATTCTGCTGTCATACTACACAGGATTGGTGAAGTTCAGAAGAAAGAGCAGAAAAATTCTGCTGAAGGACTGGGTTATAAAAGAGCTGGTCAATAATCTTTTGAGTCAGGGGCCTGCCCAAGGCTTTGAGCCTCATGGCCCATTATGATCCACACGATTTGGGAGGTTGGGAGCAAATGGGAGACACTGTGCCTATTGCCCTCCTTCTGAGGACATGCATGGGCCTGGGTACCTACACCATTGTGTAGCATGGAAGTAACTCTTTCAAAATAACCTTTGTTCATGTTGTCAGGCGGGAGAGCCACTATCAGCAAACCGTGCCTTAATGGTTTGAGTGTCACATTCGCAGGCCTTGGTTGGGAGGGAGCATTCCTGATATACAATCTGGCAGAGGACAGAGAAACCGTGGCTTTCTTTGGATTCCCTTATTTTTAGAATAAAAGTTAAAAAGATCACTTGTGTCCTGTGATTTGAAGTGTGGCTTGGAGGAGCAGTGAGGCATGAAACACTGGGAGAAGAGTCAGTAGAGGAAGGGTATGACCTGAGGAGGGTTTGTACAGCTAAGCTGGATTATCCCTGCCCTCCCTAAGCCCTTCCTGCCACTGATGTGAGAGGCACCTTCTTCCTTCCAAGCCTTCTAAGTAACTTCACAGGATGACATAGAAGAATGGGCATGACAGGAGATGTTCAGGCGGGAGAGCCACTATCAGCAAACCGTGCCTTAATGGTTTGAGTGTCATTCGCAGGCCTTGGTTGGGAGGGAGCATTCCTGATATACAATCTGGCAGAGGACAGAGAAACCATGGCTTTCTTTGGATTCCCTTATTTTTAGAATAAAAGTTAAAAAGATCACTTGTGTCCTGTGATTTGAAGTGTGGCTTGGAGGAGCAGTGAGGCATGAAACACTGGGAGAAGAGTCAGTAGAGGAAGGGTATGACCTGAGGAGGGTTTGTACAGCTAAGCTGGATTATCCCTGCCCTCCCTAAGCCCTTCCTGCCACTGATGTGAGAGGCACCTTCTTCCTTCCAAGCCTTCTAAGTAACTTCACAGGATGACATAGAAGAATGGGCATGACAGGAGATGTTCAATGGGGACTGTATGTCCCAGGACCTTTACCTGGGAAACTGAGGCCCTTCTCCATTCACTAACACCTTCCCTGAAAACTCACTGCCTAACCATCCCCTAAAGTCATTGTGATTCTGTCCTGTGCCACTCCTCATGCTTCCCTACCTTGTTTCCCTCCCATACACCTTTAGGTCCATGAGTCAGTGTCCTTTCTGGACACCGGTGTTTAATTTTCTATACAATACTTGTTGCACAAGTACAAAAGTACTCTTAATTTTCTCGAGGCTTCCTGAGACCTGGTTGTGTGTGTGTGTGCGTGCGTGCGTGCGTGCGTGCGTGTGTGTGTGTGTGTGTTGTAAGGGTTGTGATGATCTCAAGTGTGGGCTGAGCAGAAAGTGGCAGAGATTCCTGGGCTCAGTTAGGTTGCTGTTGTGAAGAACCTCCACAGGTCTTAGTTCCCTTCCCCCAGTGTAAGAGTGCTGAACATGGATTCATTGGTGGAACATGGTATATTTGAACAAAAACTCCTTTTTCAAAGGAAAACCGAAATTAATGTCCAGTGTTATGGGGTCATTTGTTTTATTTACTTATTTTTAAGTGTTTACTTGTTTTGTTTTTTCATTCTTTATTTTATTACTGAACTACATTGTCCTATCCACCCCGCTCCGCCCCACCATAAAAATCTTACCCTGGTCCCCTATCTTCCCCCTCCTCACTTCCTCCCTCTAGTCCTGCACAAGTGCCCTGATTCTCTGCCCACTAGCTATTTTAGAGTGTGTCCATTGGGAAGCAATGAAGAAGCTACCCCAGAGCCTCTGTGGAGAATAGAGGGGGTTGAAGGAGCCTTAAAGGGGCTCATTTGAGGGCCTTGACCACTTGCTCATAGGCTGGCTTGATCTCATGGTCAGGACAGGTAGAGGCAAATTCTTCTCAAGCATAGGCATTGCTCAGGTACCAGTGCAGTCCTTTGACTGCTTCTGGGATGGTGAATCCTCTGTGTTTCTTACATGCCACGTATACTATGTGAAGCTTTGGCAACAGGTTGCAGACAGCCAGGGTAAGCTCATTGCCATCCAGAAACTTCCTCTGGAGATGCCCTCATCTTCAGCACAGGTATCATCCACTTCTGGGAGGGGGGATATCAAGTAATTGTCTAAACCTTCAAGGCTTTCAGGAGCCCCTTCTCCAGATTATTATTGAGTGCTGGGTGTGAATTTTTGATGTAGGAGAGAATTTGGCCAATATGTCCAGGCCAGCAGTGTTGGTTGGACTCAGGGTTCAGAGCAGCCAGCTTTGGGTACCTGGAAGGAGACAGCACTGCCTCCAGCAGTTCTGCAAGCTTATTGATGTCTCTGTGTACTTTAGAGCCATACAGCAAGAATGGGAGTTGCCCACCTGGGCACAGCTTCTGTACCATCTCCGTTCATCTCTTAGTGTCCACGGTGGTAAAGCTGAAGGTGACTCCCTTGAGCCAGAGCACCATGAACAGTCTCTGGGAGAAGGGGCAGCTTTCCGTCTTGGCCTCCTCACTGCCAGTCATCACAAAAAATTTGACTTGGGGTTGTTCTTCAGCCATGGTTGCGATTGGGGCCTGTTTTGGCTTTTAAGACAGGGTCTGGGTACATAGGCTGTCGCAAGCCACGACTCCGTCCAGCAGAGCTGAGGAAAGATGACACAGACACCAAGGTGAGGTTCAAGCTTCTTTTTCTCACTCTTCCTCTTTATTCTCTTATTCTCCTTTATTCTCTCACTATTCTCTCTTTGTTGTTTTCTCTCCTTATTATTTCTTATTCTCTTTATTCTATTC